ATTCTCCAAGCATGCTCCATTCATGAATATAACATAGAACCTCTGCTCAAATATAGCCCATCGCAGCTCAGTATCCAAGTGGGTACCTTAGTAAAGGGAACAGGAGCTGTCTTTGACATGAACTCAGTGTCCTGCTCTTTGATCACCTCCCCCTAAAGAGGAAGTAGCCTTATCAGGCCACAGAGGAAGACAATACAGCCATTTCTGATGAGACCTGATAAGCTAGGGTCAGATGGAAGGGGAGGAGGACCTCCCCTATCAGTGAACTTGGAAAGGCAAATGGGAGGAGATGAGGGAGGGAGGAAGGGCAGGATTGAGTGGGAATGAGGAAGGGGGCTACAGCTGGGATACAAAGTGAATAAACTGTAATTAATATAGAAAGATAATTTTATTTTAAAAAGTTAAATTAAGTCCCCTAAACAGCTCTCATGTATCAGGTAGCTGCTTCTCTTCTGTGATCACCATTGTCTGTTTTACGCATTCCAGCCCCACTCACTTTTTTTCTGATATGAATTGATCTTGCACAGTTTCCCTGAGATTTTCTCTTGCCCCCTCCTCCTTGCCTGGTAAACATCTATTCACATCTCCTATTGTCATTCTTAAATTTTTTAAGTTTTAATTTTTTATATTAATTACAGTTTATTCAATTTGTATCCCAACTGTAGCCCCCTCTGTCATTCCCTCCCAATCCCACTCTCTCTCCTTCATCTCCTCCCATGTGCCTCTCCAAGTCCACTGCTAGCGGAGGTCTATTGTCATTTAATAAGATGTTTATATCTCTGAAATTCCTATCCTTGGGTGATGTTAGCAGCATGTAGATATTGCATTTCTCAGAAGCCTTGACCCTTTTGTAGATACATGTTCATGAAAGTACGCATTCATGAGGACATGTTGCTGCATCTTCCCTGGTAGGCAGGGCTCCCTGAAATGTTTCTCCTTGCGGTTTTGCTCTTCGCAGAGCCTACTGCAGTAGCACTGTAGTGTAGAAAGCAGACAGCATTTATTGAATGAATGAACAGAAGATTTTTTTTTCTTTTTAGTTACATTTTGTTAACTCTGTGTCCCAGCTGTATCCCGCTCCCTCATTCCCTCCCCAACCCCACACTCCCTCCCTGGTCTCCTCCCTGCCCCTTTCCAAGTCCACTGATAGGGGAGGACCTCCTCCCCTTTCATCTGACCCTGTTTTATCAGGTATCTTCAGGGCTGGCTGCAAAGTCCTCCTCTGTGGCCTAACAGACTGCTCCTCCCCTGGGGTGGGGGTGGGGTGTCAAACAGCCTGCCCTTGAGATCCTGTTAGAAATAGTCCCTGTTCCCCTTACTTTGGAAAACTACTTGGTTACTGAGCTACCACGGGCCACATCCAAGCAGAAGTTCTAGGTTATATCCATAGATGGTCCTTGGTGGAGTGTCAGTCTCAGAAAAGACCCTGTGCCCAGATATGTTTGGTCCTTGTAGAGCTCCTATCCTTTCCATATCATACTAACTTCCCTTCTTTCATATGATTCCCTGCATTCTGCCAAGGTTTGGTTATGAGTCTTAGTGTCTGCTTTGAAACACTGCTAGGTAGAGTCTTTCAGATTCCTTTTGTGGTAGACTCCTGTCATAAGTTCAATGCACATCCCATTTGTCTTTCTAAATGAGGATTAATCACCTTCACCTGTGTCCACTTTCTTGATTATCTTCTTTAGGTGTGTAGATTTCATTATGTTTATCATATCTTGTAGGTCTATATAAACGAGTATATACCAAGTTTGTCTTTCTCCTTCTGGGATACTTCACTCAGAATGATCTTTTCTAGATCCCACCACTTGCCTGCAAATTTCATGATTCCCTCCTTTTTGATTGCTGAGTAGTATTCCATTGTGTAAAAATACCACAATTTCTGTATCCATTCCTCCGTTGATGGACATCTGGGTTGTTTCCAAGTTCTGGCTATTACAAATAAAGCTGCTACGAACATGGTTGAAAAAATGTCCTTGTTGTGTACTTGAGCAAATTTTGGGTATATACCTAGGAGTGGTATAGCTGGGTCTTGAGGTAGCACTACTCCTAGTTGTCTGAGAAAGCGCCAGATTGACTTCCAAAGTGGTTGAACCAGTTTACATTCCTACCAGCAATGGAGGAGGGTTCCCTTTTCTCCACAACCTCTCCAGCATGTGCTATCACTGTTTTTCATCTTGGCCATTCTGATGGGTGTAAGGTGAAATCTCAGGGTCGTTTTGATTTGCATTTCCCTAATGGCTAATGAGGTTGAGCATTTCTTTAAGTGTTTCTCTGCCATTCGATGTTCCTCTTTCGAGAATTCTCTGTTTAGCTCTGTTCCCCATTTTTTAAGTGGATTACTTGGTTTGTTGCTTTTCTGCTTCTTTAGTTCTTTATATATACTGGATATTAGCCCTCTGTCAGATAAAGGGTTGGTGAAGATTCTTTCCCAATCTGTAGGCTGTCTATTTGTTTTGATGACAGTGTCTTTTGCTTTACAGAAGCTTTTCAGTTTCATGAGGTCCCATTTATTGATTGTTGCTCTTAGAGCCTGTGCTGTTGGTGTTCTGTTGAGGAAGTTGTCTCCTGTGCCAATGAGTTCTAGGCTGTTTCCCACTTTTTTTTCCAACTGATTTAGAGTATCTGGTTTTATGTTGAGGTCCTTGATCCACTTGGACTTTAGTTTTGTGCAGGGTGATAAATATGGATCTATTTTCATTTTTCTGCATGTAGACATCCAGTTGGTCCAGCACCATTTGTTGAAGATGCTGTCTTTTTTCCATTGAATGGATTTGGCTTCTTTGTCAAATATTGAGTATTCATAGGTGTGTGGGTTTATTTCTGGGTCTTCTATGCAATTCCATTGATCCTCCTTTCTGTTTCTATGCCAATACCATGCAGTTTTTATTACTGTTGCCCTATAGTACAGCTTGAGATCGGGAATGGAGATACCTCCAGATGATCTGTTGTTGTACAGGATCGTTTTGGAGATTCTGGGTGTTTTGTTTCTCCATATGAAGCTGAGAATCTTTTTTTCAAGGTCTGTAAAGAATTGAGTTGGTATTTTGATGGGAATTGCATTGAATCTGTAGATTGCTTTTGGCAGGATGGCCATTTTCACAATGTTAATCCTACCAATCCATGAGCACAGGAGATCTTTCCATCTTCTGAGATCTTCTTCAATTTCTTTCTTCAAAGTCTTGAAGTTTTTCTCAAACAGGTCTTTCACTTGCTTGGTTAGAGTCACACCAAGGTACTTTATGTTATTAGTGGCTATTGTGAAGGGTGTTGTTTCCCTAATTTCTTTCTCAGCCTTTTTGTCTTTGGTATACAGGAGGGCTTCTGATCATCCCAGGAATGCAAGGGTGGTTCAACATACGGAAATCCATCAATGTAATCCACCACATAAACAAAATGAAGGAGAAAAACCACATGATCATCTCCTTAGATGCTGAAAAAGCATTTGACAAAGTCCAACACCCATTTATGTTTAAAGTCTTGGAGAGATCAGGGATACAAGGCACATACCTAAAGATAGTAAAAGCAATATACAACAAGCCTATAGCCAACATCAAACTCAATGGAGAGAAACTTAAATCAATCCCACTGAAATCAGGGACAAGACAAGGCTGCACACTCTCTCCATATCTCTTTAACATTGTACTTGAAGTCCTAGCCAGAGCAATAAGACAACTAAAGGAGATCAAGGGGATACAAATCGGAAAGGAAGAGGTCAAAGTGTCACTATTTGTAGATGATATGATAGTATACATGAGCGACCCCAAAGATTCAACCAGAGAACTTCTTCAGCTGATAAACACCTTCAGCAAAGTGGCAGGATACAAAATCAACTCAAAAAAATCAGAAGCCCTCTTGTTTACCGAAGATTTTTTTAAAAGCTCTAGAGAATGAGCTTTCAATCAAGATAATTGACTGTTCTCTATTGTTAGACATTCGGAAAGACTGAAATATATATCAGTATTTGAGGAGGACTTCTGCACAGATTTTTCTAAGTCCTACTTAAGCAGATAATTTAACCATAGCCATCTATGTGTCATGTGGTAGATCAATCTGTGATCCTAGAAAGATAGCTGTTTTGTTCTATACGACCTATTGAGAGCTTAGGGAGAATACTGTAAGTGGTGGTATATGCCTTTAATCCCAGCACCCAGGAGACAGAGGCAGGAGGATCTCTGAGTTTGAAGGCAGCATGGTCTACAGAATGAGTTACAGAACAGCCAGAATGACACTGTGAAATCTTGTCTTTAGAAACAAAAACAAGCAAGCATGGTCTGGAGAGATGGCTCACTGGTTAAGAGCACTGACTGCTCTTCCAGAGGTCCTAAGTTCAATTCCCAGCAGCCATCTATAATGATATCATGTGTCCTCTTCTGCTGTACAGGTGTACATGCAGACAGAATACTGTATGCATAATGAATAAATATAAAAAAGTAAGCAAACAAACAAACAAAACAGAAGTTGTTTCTTATAGTGGCGACAATCTGATACCAGGGCTCCTCTTCATGGCAAACCTCCCCAGGTGCTGGAAAACCCTCTCTAGGAGTAAGGACCCACCTGATGAATAGAATGTTCTGTTAAGCCCTCAAAAATAAACTCACTCTTTCATCTTGGGGCATCCTTGGATTCCCCTGAAAGTCACATTTATTAGGTAGGAAGACCAGAAATGAATGCAAATGCCCCCAAGGCTTTCTGTTAAAGAAGGCCTGTGTGTTTTGTCTAAATATGGTACCTAGAGCACATTTTTCTTTGACTTCATTAATAACACATTACCACGAATAAACAATCCCTCTCCTTTCCGGGTAAGCCAGGCAATTTATCTTTCTTACTGTCAGCCCTCAGTAGCCACCTTGGGGATCACAACTGTTCACCTAAGAAGTAATGATGTGAGCTGGAAGGAAATTTCAGAAAAGCAGCTATGGATTTGGTGATTCTCTTTCTTTATGTATTAATATTATAAACATATACTGATTCTAAAGGCATGCCTTTTCTCTTTACAGTCAGTCCTTTCACACGGCACTGTGGCTGACTGTGCTGTGGTTGGCAAGGAAGACCCCTTGAAAGGTCATGTTCCCTTAGCACTCTGCGTGTTGAAGAAAGGTGAGAGACATCTTTGTCATCCCTGACTGTTTGTGTATGAATGAGTGGCACTAACTCAGTACTCACTAACTCACCTTTCTCACTAGATATAAATGCAACAGAAGAACAAGTTTTGGAAGAAATTGTGAAACACGTTAGGCAGAGCATTGGCCCTGTGGCTGCTTTTCGAAATGCAGTTTTTGTCAAACAGTTACCCAAAACCAGGTCTGGCAAGATTCCACGGTCTACACTGTCTGCCCTGGTCAATGGCAAGCCTTATAAGGTAAATGATTCAGAATCTATAATGGTGAGTCCTGAAATGGTTTCCATTGTGTTTGGCAAAAGCAAAATGCTATTAGATTAAGGTTTTCAATCATGATTTCTCTCTCCTGAAAACCTCCTTCATTTTCTGTAAGAAGAAAAGTTTGAGAAAGTGTTGATTAAAAATCATGTGCTTTAATTACAGGAACTGTGGTGTGAACTTTGCTTGTAGCAATTTTGTAAATTTCAAAGAGACTTGCAGAAATTCATTCCTTTGAACTAAAATGTACATATTGCTTCATTACAGTCACTAATGATCATCCATGATGAGAAAGTGAAGTATATGAGAAGTCTAAAATGTTCCAATACATCAGTTGTAATTATTTCTACTATTATGAGAGAAAATAGTTTTAGGAAGCTTTAGACTGACTCAAGCACATATATGTTTTAATGTCAAGGCTTGTTATTGGCATGAACATCTGTAATTTCCTCAAATTATTTATATAATAATAATTACTTGCCTGAGCAAATTTCAGAATAAATAAAAACTGAAGAAATATGTAGAAATATCAACAATTTTGCTGAACAAACTTATTCATTTACTATTGCAAAAGATAAAAGCTTAATTATTTGGCTTGAAATTCCACATTTTACATATTTTATAGGTGTTTTCTGAAATAATTGGGGGTATAAATTGTGTGTGTCTGCAATCCTAGTATTTGGGAGGTAAAGCCAGACTGATGAGGAAATCATGGCTGAGGAACTTGGCTACACAAGGTGTTTGAAGTCAACCCATGATACACAAGACCCCATCTCAAGAAAAAAAAAAATCAAAACAAAATTTAAAAGAACAACAACAAAAATGAGCAGACAAAAAGCGTGTTGGACAAAAAGTCAGCAAAGTTCAAGGACAGGCGATCATCTGACGTTTTCTATTTATTTCCAGGTGACCCCTACCATCGAGGACCCTAGCATTTTCGGTCACATAGAAGAAGTTCTGAAGCAGGCCTTGTGATTTTTGTTTACTCTTTTCAATCAGCTTGCCTTAATTTTCCAGCTGGAATTAAGTTGTTAAATTTCTATAAATAGTTACTTGAAAAATATTTTACCCATCAACTCAAACATGAACTATAGCCTTAAATCAGTCTGGTGGCCCTTGAAATGAAGCAGAATGTTTTGTTTCACGTGAGCCAGTTTGTATTGTTACCTCTTTCCTGTAACATGGATCATGATATGTTATCTAGCGTATTAAGGAACATTTCTGTGTTGTGTGATTTTACAAATCCATGTGCCTTACAGACACATTTTAATTGAAAGTAGCTGTACTATAAACGTACTTCCTGGAGATAAGAATCGGCCACTCTTTGATCAAAATATAAACTAAAATCAGTCGGAATATAATTTAAAATGTTATTGTGGTTGACTACCTTAATTTTAGGTAACCTTCTAGATAGACTAGGTTGCCTAGCAACATAGGACCCCAGGGTCAAGCACCATTTCCAGGTTGCTTGTTACTGGGTAAGGAGAGGCATGTATCTGGCAGAGAACCTAGACATCCTTTCACCAAATCTTTTGTGGAGATAAAGGCTCCTGTGTTCTCCTTTTATGGTTGACAGTGTGCATTTTGATGCCTTCATTTTTGATGGAATCAAGGAATGACATACAAATTGAAAGGAATGACAAGAAGGATGTTTTAAGAATAAATTGGAAGGCTTTCATCTCATGTAACAAATCAATAAACTTTCTGGGTAATATCAATAAGCCTCCATTCTCTTTTTTCTCTTTTCTCTCTCCCTCTCCCTCTCTCTCTTCCTCCCATCTTTCCTCCCTCCCTCCTTTCCTCTTTCTTTCTTTCTTTCTTTCTTTCTTTCTTTCTTTCTTTCTTTCTTTCTTTCTTTCTGTCTCTCTCTTTCTTTCTTTCTTTTTTTTTTTTTTTTTTGTTAAGTTCAAATTTCCTAGGTTGGCTTTACATTTGCAATATAAGTGTGGCTGAATTTACTGCTAGAGGCATGAACTAAAATATTTAGCTCTAAATTAGCATTGTTTTCCTTTGAGGATTTGATCCAGAGCCTTATGAATGTTAGGCAAGCCCTGTCCACTAAGCTATAGCTTTGGCCCTCGATAAATTAACAAGTGATTTTAAGAAAAATAGCTGGTGGGGTGGTACACGCCTGTAATCCCAGCACTTAGGGAGGCAAAGGCAAGTGGATCTTTGTGAGTTTGAGGCCAGCCTGGTCTAAAAAGCAAGTCCTGGATAGCCAAGGCTACTCAAAGAAGCCCTGTCTTGGAAAAAATATATATACAAAAACCAAAACTAATCCAAAAAGAAAAAAGAAAAAAGAAAGAAAGAAAGAAGGAAGGAAGGAAGGAAGGAAGGAAGGAAGGAAGGAGGGAGGGAGGGAGGGAGGGAGGGAAGGAAGGAAGGAGGGAGGGAGGGAGGGAGGGAGGGAGGGAAGGAAGGAAGGAAGGAAGGAAGGAAGGAGGGAAGGAAGGAAGGAAGGAGGGAAGGAAGGAAGGAGGGAAGGAAGGAAGGAGGGAAGGAGGGAAGGAAGGAAGGAGGGAAGGAGGGAAGGAGGGAAGGAAGGAAGGAAGGAAGGAAGGAAGGAAGGAAGGAAGGAAGGACTGTACCATATTACAAGAGCCTCTGGTTTGTCAGGAGACTGCAAACATTTACTTTTATCGCAAGTTTTAGTTTTGATCACAAGTTAAATTATCTAATAATTATGTTCTAACATATATTTCTATCTGTAGCTTTTTTAAATGATTGAACCTATTAAAAATAGAATAAGATTTTAATAAACTTATAAAAATATATCAACTCACTAGAATAGAAAAAAATAGTTGGTTAACTAGCTCAGATCTCTACATACATAATTCATCAGGGCCCATATTTAAATCCAAAAAGTATATACTGTGTTCATTGGAGACTTCTCAGAATAATTATTCAATTATTTAGTCTTTTGGAAACATTATTATGAAGAGCACAATATCCTAACAGAATAGTCAAAATACATGAAATATAGGTAAGAAATGAGAGATTAAAATCTACTTTTCATAAAAGTTATGAATATTTTACATAAAAGCTCTCTTTTTATGCCTCTTTGGTCTGTGGTCTAACAGAATAGTCGAAATGCAAGAAATGTAGGTGAGAAATAAAAGATTGGAATTTACTTGTCATAAAAGTTATATATATATATATATCTTATATAATAGCATTTTTAGGCCTCTTTGGGCTGCTGCTTGAAAATTAAATGGCATTTCAAGGGAAATTTTTATTGATGAAACTACCTTCTTTATTGGCAAATTTGAATACAGTATCTTTATCATCTTTAATTATTTTGGTAGCCTGAATTAAGCCAACTTTATAGACATTTCATTACTTGAAGCTGTTGGATTCGTTGACTTATTCATTGTATGTGTACATTTTATTAATTAGAGAGCTAAATTACAAATCAATAATTTTAATATGTTCATTATTTTCCCCACATGAATCAGATAATCTACCTGAACTTGTCATTTTTCATTTGCAAGTTATAAACACAGGCAGATCTAAGAATTGAATAAAGTTTTATCTTTGGATGATTTGCAGAATTTTTTCCTCTTTATCAGATCTGAAGGGACAACTGAGCAAGCAGGCATGAGTTATTTTCCAGCTGAAGAAATCATAAAGAGAGAGAGATAGAACAAAACAAACAAACAAATGAACAAAGAAATAAAAAGGCAGTGTTTCTCACTTGGGAAGAAGCTACTTCCTATGGTTCAGTAAGGAAATTCATCTCCTCTGCAGACTAGAGACCTGGTGCTAACATGAAGGATGAAATATATAACTTAGTCATTTTAATGCTTAAAATTTGGGGAGAAAATTCAAGAACTTTCTCTTTTATATCTCACCATAAGGTGTTTGGCCAAATTGCAAATAAAATATTTTGAATTGAATGTGTCTTTGATAGCAATAATGTAATCTAAGAAATGGGACCATACTTAAATTTCCCGAGATGAATTCTGCACTCTTCTATTTTACAAAATTTTAAATTTGTAAGACATTTGAGAAACAAAAATAAAAGTTCTTTTAATATTTAAAGAGGATGACAATTTATTGTTTCCATACAAAATAAACTAACTAGATAAAAATAAAACTTGTTTTAGATTTCAAAAGGTGGTTTTATTAATATAAAATAGTATTTGAGGAGGCGTGGTCTGATATTCTAAGATGTTTGAATGCCTAATGTTGATGGTCAAAAGAGTAATAATAATAAAACAGAAACACAGAAATTTAAGCTCAATCCATGAAACCGATTTATATATATGTGTGTGTGTGTATATATATATATATATATTCAGTATTTTTTATATAATTTCTCAAAAGAAGAAACTGCTTTTGTCGACAGTGGTTGCTATAATTGGATATTGATCTTCTGCCGGAAGCTTCTGCCTGGGTAAGGTGATACTGATGTGAACTGTGCCCCTCTTATGAGGACAGTGTCCTCAGTTTCATCAACTGTGTCCTCACAGTGTCCTCACTTTCTCTCTTTAAAAAAACAAAAAAACAAAAAAAAACATTTTTTTAATATTTTTTATTTATTTAACTTGATTTTATGTGCCTTAGTGTGAAGGTATCAGATCCTTTGGAACTACAGACAGTTGTGAACTGCCATATGGGTGCAGGGAATTGAACCCATGTCCTTTTGAAGGGCAAGGCAGTGCTCTTAACCACTGAGCTTTCTCTCCAGCGCTCTCTTCTTTTCATGACAGTGGAGTGAGCAGTTTTCTCCAGCAGCTTCCTACCACGCCATTCCACCCTACTTGATTTCCCAAAGCGCGCAGACTTCCGGTTCTTGAGCTAGATCATCACAAAGTGTGGGCCAAAATAATTTTTTTCTTCCTTATAAGTTACTTGTCGCAAGTATTTTACTACAGCTATGCAAAACTGGTTGTCACAGTATTATTTAAGTACTAATCTTCCTAGCAAATGAGTATCGTAGTTTCTCTCTTATATTCCATTTAGATGAATCAAGAGTCTCATCATTAGATGCTCTTAGACAGTTCTCTCATTGATTTTACTCAAGCAACGTTAAGGAAAAAAAAAAAAAAATCCAAACCACTTCCATTACCTGGTTTAGACCTCCCTCTAGTGGCAGACTCGATTTTGAATAAAACTGCATTAGAAATCATTGAATGATTTTCTTTGCAATTCGAATACATGGTTAAATTTTATGCTACTAGAAAACAAAGCTTAAGCAGAAAACTGGAAGCATTTTTTTTTTATTGACAATGGAGAGGTTTTGTTACCATTACCTTTTGATTAAATCTGTTCAACAAAAATAGACATCAAAACAAATGTACGTGCAAATATAACAAATTAATATACAAAAATGAATTTACTAATGACAGGTCTTGCATTTAATAAGACCAAGCAGCAGGAAAACAGCAGTTAAATCAATGGTATTATTTAAACAGGTTTCACTTTGAAATCTCCCATATGAACAAAGAATAAACAACAGTGACACCACCAAATAAAGCCACAAGGAAGAGATTACTCTTCTATACTTTTTATACACTATATATGCTAATCATTCTGTCTTTCTTCCTCTGATGAAAGTGAATTTAGGGAAATTACAAAAAAAAAGGTCATATCAGCTGAAGGCTTGTAATATTAGACTTGATTTTGGGTAATGCCCTGTTAGCAGTGATTTTTTAAACGTGTTGGGTTATGGGGTTTTGTTTTATTTTTATTTGTTTCCAGTGGAAACAGGCCTCAGACTCTACAGAGGTTGATATTCACTGTCCAGTACTGGCTGGTAGTTCAGAGTATTTGAATGAACATGCGGTAATTAATAAAGTGTTTGTGTATGTGTGTGTGAGTGTGTGTGTTTCTTGGTCCACAGGCAACATGATTAGGTAACGGTTTTCTTAATATAAATTTTTAAAATCATTGCATTTGACTTTTGTAAACAGTTTGGCTTTGTTTTCTACTGAAAAGGAGGTTAAGCCATCACAGTGTTTCTTCAAAAGTTCTAGGGCATAACGGCCCTGATTGCCTTTAAAGGTCATTTTTGGGCTCCAGGTCCAGGTTAAATCATTCTATTTTTTTTTTTTTATTTTTTTACATGATCAGAGGCAGGTGTTCAGCTTTAAGGTCTGACAGACTTGAAAGTGAAGCATGTTGAAGCAGGAAACACGCTTCTAGGAAATATATTGATTGTTACAATTCAAAAACCGTAAAAATGGTGGAATGGTAAAATACGAACAGTACTTGGAATTGTTCAATGTTTGCACTCGAGACTCCATGAACCATATATTTTATTTTTTTAAAAAATCATATTTATATCCATTTACAGAAGACTTACACATTTAAAAAGAAATAATACACAATAATACATAAATGCCTATTATATTACAACATGAAAAAACAAGTGGTTCCATCTCATAAAAGCATCAGATGTACAGAATTTATGGCATGGATGATGCTCATATTTTGGATGACTTAAACATTTTATTACAATCATAGTAAACTAATCAAACTTAATATCCAATTCCCCCCAAAATGACGTTTACGTTTGGTAAACCGTTACTTATATTATTTCCTTAGAATTGAGTCTTCACAAAGAATTTCTCCATTTGCCGTCCGATGCGGTAGTGCCCTTTAGGTCGTGTAGACTGAAAAGATGACATCTGAAAAAACACAAATGCGAAGCGTGAGTTCACTGGCGACTCCCAACCATGGGTCCCACACCGTTAGTAAGGCTTGAACTTTCATACAGCCTGAATGGGCCTGTTCTAGAGGCCTGATGCAAGGAAAGTATCTAGGTTGTAACTAATAGTAGATGGTGTGACATTTACTATTCTACACTTACTCATTTACTAATTTTTTAATGAAAATTTAGCAGGATTTGTTCAACTTGAGAGAAGTATAACTGTCACAGGAACAGTCATAAAATGTCAGCATGATTTCTAGATTTTTTTATAGGTTGCTAATTATTAAATTGGGTTGAGTTGACCTATTCCATGAAATAAATCCATATTCTACTTCATATATTTTAGAGTTTTTAGGATATTTTTCTTTAATCATGACAGAACATAAAACATAGCGCATTTTGATGTTTCTGCACCAGCTCTGTGTATTTCACCAAAGATTCCAGTCATGACATCACACAAGAAAACCTCACAGTTACACTTACTGACACATTAAGCTAATAAAAAGTATGTTTATATTTATTTTTGCAACATATATTAAAATTTATCACCAAACTAAAAATAAAGATCTTCTATGATTATCCTATTAACAAATATTGTTATTCTATTTAATGGTTAAAATTTTAAAAAAAATGAGCTAGAATGACATGCAGAAAAAAAAATAAATCGCAAATAGTTCAAGATTAATTCTACCCATGAGCCTAGGGCTAAGCGGCAAGCAACGCTGAACATATTAGTCATTTATAAGCTGGTAAATTATTGAATTTCTGAGAAAATTATTTTGTTATGTGTTGAATCCTTTGTAAACAGCATTTTGGAAAGTCTCTTATTTAGCCAAATGATTATGTAGTATAGGCCATGCTTACTAAGACCAAATTGTGTATCACAAAATTTTTATATTAGTGCAGCATTTTAAGAAATAAAAATGTCTGGATGCTTTTTTTCCCCTATGCCTTATCAGTTATTAACTCATGTAGGGCAACATGCCATTTCCTGTGTTACTCTCTCAAGCCCAATGATATGCTGTAGAGAGATATTGATTCTAGGCAATGAATAATCTGTACCAGTCAAATTGTTGCTATGTCTTCTTGTCTCCTTTCCCATGCCTGGGCACAAATACTGTTTAAAAATATTTTCTCTCAAATATCAGCTCATTGACTATGATAGAATAGTTTGGTACACCCCCAAAATTTGGTAACCAAATTTTAGGTTAAAGTGTTTTTCAAACATTTGAAATTTATAAAACTAGGAAAGTAGTTTTCCTCATAAGAAGGTTTTAGAATAAAATCTTGTTATACCAACATACCAGCGATTCGCACTTCCTAATAAATGCCATGTATGAACATAACAAAGTTTTATGCAATTTCTATTCGTAATTATTTTTCCTATGTTATACATATCCCACATTCTTAAAATTCATGCTTGATTTCAGCAAGTATACATTATAGTGATGGGAAATAAAATGTTGACATTTCAATATTTTTTTTATTTTCAACTTCCTTGTTAGTATTAATCCACATCTAATTTCCCATCTCTTGATTGTGAACTCGCAGAGATTCCTATTGTTTGATTTTGGCTTCCTTCTATGAAAGACACTTGAAATCTCTGATTCTTTTAAATGCCAGACTCTTACTAATGGAGTTTTATGCCACTGCAAATAAGATGCTTAGCAACCCGCGACTGTGGAATGGCTGAGTGGCAGGCTTTCAATAGGCAGACCACTAAACACAGGAGAGAGATAGTGATAGGAAATGCTAGATGAAGAGCTACAGTTTAAGATTCTTTGAGGGGGTGACCACCTCTGCACTGCTAGGCCATACCAAAGGGTGTGGGCTATATTGACTAGTCTCTGTAATCCCATCTTTCTGTTGGTTTGTTGTGGGTCAGCCAAGAGGAACTACTCACAGCAGGTCAGTGCTGTCTCCTTTGAGTGGCTTGTCAACATGAGTATGTGCGAACAGTGGAGTTGTCTAACCTCTGCAGTCTTGATGAAGCAACTGCAAATGAGAAAAGGGCTTTAGACGTTCTCAGATAATAGATGAGAGAGTTTGATTTTCTCCGCATAAAGGGATCCTGAACGTATTAGTACACAGCCTTGTCTCAGACATTAGCCACTCACTCACGTTCCTCTTCTCTAGTCCCAGACACTAATGAAAATTCACCCAAGTGCAATTCAGCTGAGCTCTCCAGTTGCTATAGATCCCTCCTTAGATGGAATCTGTGGCAAAGCATCTCCCCAGGGTGAGTCCACTTTGCTGTCAAGATGACTCTTAGGGAACTGAGTATTGTGGATTGTACTATGTACTGACAAACTTCTATACTAATTTCAGTCGTGATAAATCACCCTGGAACCTTAGTAACAAGTCACAAAATAGTAACATGGTAAAAGAAATGTGGCTCAAAGGCTGCACTTTATACTCAGATGAATTTTAATTGCCATAATGGCTGGGAAAAAATAAAGCTAGAAATGAAGATTCTAGATTATTATCTTAATAACAAGTGGAAGATTATTTTTTTAATGCCTACAAAACAGACATAATTTGGGGATTCCTATTATTATTTCAAAGTTGTCTCTTCAGAATAACTGTTTTTTTTATGAAAGACATAGCACAAGTCTAATGTCCACAGATGGAGATGTGATTGAGAAATCACTGCTGGTTTTGTGTTTGTTTATTACTTTTCTCATATTTGTGCTTGTTTATTTAACGCTTTCTGCCTGTGTCAGAGACAGAATATATCTAATGAAGCTGAGTTTGAAAAACGAAATATAAAATTTGTACTATTTCAATATATAAAAGTGTCAGTAGAATGAATTCCCATTTCTGGTGGGATCTGAGTTCAAACCCATCTTCCATTTTAAATAGATTGTTTTATTTTCAGCATAGAAAAGTAAAGAAACACATATCATGCAGATGTGTGTTGTTTTTCCTGGATGTGGACATCAGTAGAACTGTTTTGGAGGGAATGTAATTTATTTTTCAAATGTTTATAAAGTGTCATGGATTCATGCATTGATAAGTTTACAAATGGTCTTTTTTTTTTGACAAAAGCAAAGTAAATTTCAAGCAAAGCAAACTGACTTAAGAAAAAAATCAATCCCAGAAATCTATGCAAATTTGAAGAACTATATAGCTTTGACTAAACAAGATTTTTACTTCATAAGCAGAATTGTGAAACTACTGTACCATCTGTCGTCATTTTCCTTGACTGTCCAGATGTCGTGGTTAACCTGAATCCAGCTGGTAAAGTTTCTGAGGACCCAGGCATCATGCTGATTCCATGTACTTCACGAGGAGGAAACTGCCTTCGCCAGGTTGAGCCACGTCTGAAATTCTTGTCATCACTCTGCCAGTACAGAGTTAGAATTCGATGTCATGATACAAATAAGCTATAGTACATAAGTCTGTGCGTTTAGGAACTTGTTATAGAGTTTATTTACATTCAGCCTGTCAAGTACAGATAAGAATGGTTTGCTTAGGCTTCACCTCCTCTGTTGATTTCATAATGAGAAAATAAATATGAGAAAGATATGTTGTTTTAAATAAAATTTCAATATGATTTAAAATCTAAAGTTTGTCACTTTTAAACATCCTGGAAGCCAGGAAATACTAAATATTTTCTTCTGTAAATGGATCATTAGGTTTATTTTGCTACCTATCGTGTTAACTGATTTTTCATTCTGAGATTATATTGTGAATTGCATCAGTCGTTAAGTAGAAGACATTTGATTTGAATAATCAACAAATATCACTTTCATGTACACAAAAGGTAGATAGTATACAAAAATCTATATTTGAGACAATCTGGTTAGCATTTGATACAATGGACTATAATATGAAAAAAATGTTGAATTTATGATTTGTTAGATTTTAGGTGATTTTAAAATAACTCAATTTCTTTGAGAGCTTTTTCAGCTTTTCAATTAACATTCTTGATTTTTAAGGTGATGGCAAAAGGAAAATCTAACTCTAGTTAATAAATACTGCAATGATAATGACAGGGTTCCTGGTTACCCTTCAGAACTTGGTGGTAAGATCCTATTGCTGAAAACACCAGATACATGAGTCATAAAACATTGTGAAATAAAGCTGGAATTTTTCTAGAAATTTCCTCCTTACTGACTAGCTTTTATAGTTCTATAATTTAGTGTGCTGAAACTGGAAGAGAAAAATAATTACCAATCAATCTTCGCACCTGCAAGACTGTTGAGTTGCAAGGATGGTTGGTTTGACAACATATGACCCATGGTGCACTCATGTTATGGGAGTAAATAACCATTTTCAGATTTAATTTAAGGTCTGCTCCAGAAGGTATGACTCATACTTTGGACCATTTTCATGGCCAAAAACATGGGACTAGACAGTGTATAGGCCCTGAGGTAGATTCTACTAATATTATTCTGCTAAAGATATAATTGACTTCTAATGACTTGTTGATGTGCCTATGGATTAGCGTAGCTCTCAAACCTCATAAGAGAAACTTTTTTCCTCAGCAGACTGTGATTAAGCTAGAGGCTCATAACAGGTCTTGGTACAGATAATAAGAAAAAGACGTCCTTATATTTGACATCTATATCACATTCACTCCTCCTAAGGCTCGGGGATCATCGTGGAGGAAAGAGTAGGATGATTACAAGAGTCAGAAGTGGTAGAAGACTACCATGAAGCTGCATTCCAGGCACAGCAGGATAGCTGTCCATATGAACTCACAGTGATTGTGATAGCAGGCCCAAGACCTGTGCAAGCTCAAACCAGGTAGAATTCCAGCATGGAGAAGGAGGTGATCCTAAATTCCCACATATATCTTAGAATCAATTGATAACTGACAGTTGCTGGAGGAAGAGTTTTCTCTAAAGGTGTAACACCTGGGAGGGTGGCCACTTTCGATGGCCAATCTCCCAATAGTATATAGGCAGCACTATCTGGATTCCATGTGCTTACAAAACAGAAAAAAACAAACAAACAAACAAAAAAGAATGGGTACCCAAAATTGGGAGGATATTGAGGGGATTTTTGGAAGCAGCTGGGGAGGAGTAGGTATAATTAAAATACAGTGTATGAATTTTCCATAAAGAAAAAAAATATATCATTCTGGTCACCAATTCTGGTGTATCTCGATGACATAATCACTTTCATCTCTCTGCATATCCAAGGTATCTGTTCACAGGCTTTTTTTTTCTTTCCTTTCAGTTAGTAAGCAGAAACAGGTACTTAACCAGTTTCTTTGTGTTTATTTCTAACAAATGTACAGTTCATTTCCTATAGATCTTATCTTCTCAGATGACCAAGACTTACTCCCTGCAGCTACCCAGCCGTACTTGTAATAAACTGAGTATCGCCTCACTAAGGCAGCAGGGAAGTGTGGGCAGTGAGCAAATCCATCCTTTAAACCAGATTAGGGAGAACGTGTTATTGATCATACTGTCAGAGAGCAGCAGATTGACCAGTACCCAGAGTCCTACCAGAAACATAGCGTAATGCATGCAGAGGTCTCCACTTTGGATAAGTCTTTTCTGCTGTTAAGGTGATTTTCCCTATATGCCATCACCTGGCATGTGAACTACATGTGCAAGGGAACACAGTTCCAATAGGGCAGTGCTGAGGTTAGCATGAGCCTCTGTGCATGTAATTTTTAGTTCTGTGCTTTTTGCCATGCAAAGAGGGAGCATAAATATCAGAGCAATGCTGGTTGACTAACAGGTACTGGTCAGAAAGTCATGGCACCAGGCACAGGACACAGGCCTGCAGCTCTGTGGTGTCAGAATATAGCATAATATAGTATAGCATAATATATATTATTTTATTATATTATATTATATTATATTATATTATATTATATTATATTATA